TCGTTGGAGAGTTCGATTGCAATATAAGTTAACAAAAATACTGCAGTTGGAAATCAACAATGAAGTCAGAACATTCTTCTAGTACTTCCAACATAAACATTCATTGAAATTTTAGTTTGACAGAAGGAATTATTAAAAGGAATAATGTGAAAATAATTTTAGTGTGATTTAATGTTGGAATTCGGGGGTATTTATAGGGGTGAGAATGGGTGAATCGTCGAACTTTAAGGCTTAAATAATAATGAAATACCCAATAATTCATGGTGAATAATGAAAGACGTGGATAATGATACACACCTTTCGTCGCGTATTAATTTTCTTAGCAAAAGCGTAAATGGTGATCCGCGCTTTGTCCACTTAGTGCCAGTTCGGACGAAAACTAAAGGAATATGCGTTTGGTGATCCGCACCTTTCGTTCGTATTAACAAATGGGTGTTAAATCAATAAAATTTAGTCTATAAATGCTAGACATGTAATTATTGATTATTTTAGGTGTTTTATTTATTTATTTATTTTTTTGGGTAAAGACGCGAATTTTAAAGAAAGCTTTCGTAATGACTGACCTATGTAGGGAAGTACGGCCTATATATGGGTGTATGGACCAAGGCTGCAACAGAACGTCGTGGCATTGACTGAGTGGTCCGATACATCGTCCTAAGCAGAGTTAGACTGACAACTGACAATAGTATCTCTTTATACGATGTTGTCTGGTGTTACCATATAGTACATGACAGAACACTGGCGGGTTATAAGCAATGCCTTTTTCTGTATTTTATGGGTTGTAAAGTAATTTGCGAACTCTTTTTTTTCTGACTAGAGAGCAATCTAATTTCTTAATGTCTAGGCCCATACAGTCTCATATACCAACCCATCTTCTGTTCTGTCTGAACAATTGCGCTGCTATTTAGCCTAATATATTACGTCCACTTGGTCCAAAGTTTTTAAGTCCAAAAAATCCATTCCCTTAAAATTCCCCGGGCCTATTAGGCTTGTCCCAGTTCAAAATACTTCAATTTATTTTAAAATATGAAGGTGGCTGATTAAGTCATGAAAGTGGACCGACCCAACATGATTATACAGTTTATACAACATGAAACCAACGAGACCAAAACTTTGGTGCCCCTCTCACTGCTCCCTGGAGAACACAACATTCTAAGGAGGGAGAGTCTCAGTACACTCACCGAAGTTCACCAACTTGTAGGCTAGTGAACTAAATGATAGGAAAGCAAGGGAAAATTTTTGTATCGTTAATCTGATGATTCTACAAAGAGTAATTAAGGTGCAGGCAGTTGGCAGAGTTGGAGATACAACATAGTTACTTATGAACTTAGGGGTCGATTCCCCTTATTAATTATGCTTCAGTGTTTTCAGTCTGTGCCTTCTGAGACTCTGGCTTGTTGGTGTAAACAATAGAAAAAGATAAAGGATTTAAAGGCCAATTCCATTATAGGGAGTTTGGTATTGTGAAAGAGAGGGAATATTAGGGGGATGGGTCAAGGGTTGTTATTAAATGCTCTGGTCCTCGATAGTCCAGGGTTTTTAATGCACCCACTGCAACACTCTTTTGTTTTATGTCCTTAAATTAGATCCAACAAATTCCACTTTCATCTCACACTTCTCTTCCTTTCTTCTCCTTCGAAATCACTGCTAGCTAGCTACTTCTTTCAGATTAAACAAACTCATCATCTGTTTTGTTTTAACCTAAATGAACTGCATGCTATTCTCCAATATGGTTGAAATAGTCACTGCGATGTTGGCTCGGTTCACTCAGACAAAACCGCTTCAAAAGAGTTTTTACGTGTAATTTCTCGTTGCTTGCTGTGCTTTGATTGAGCCGTGCCAATATCCTAGTGCTTTTTCATCTCTGATCTTCTGATTTACAAGGCAATCCATCTGGCCAGCAACCGATTGTAAGGTACAATATTCTCCCCTACCATCTTCTGCATTACCCTTTCTTTTTAAACTCTTTATGTTTCAGACGTTCTAGCATTAAAGTTTCTACTGTTTAATGTTTCTTGTTTCATTTTTTTTTGTATGCAGGCTCAGCTAACCTTTTTAGCTTAAATTGATGAACTTCTTCATTTTCTAAAGAGTGAGCCCATTAATGGACTTGCTATAATATAACCTTTTTAGCTATATATAGATATATACCTCGAGTTAATTATATGCATTCGACGTTAAAATATGTTTTGTTATACGTATTACGCACCTTCAGAGCTAGCATGCAGCAAACTATGACGGTGATGGAATTACGATCCAATCTGGTTTCCCTGTATCCAAATCATCGTCCCTTGATTGACTGAAGAAAGAGTCGGTTGTCATGGTATACTCAACGATGAGTTCATTTGTCATTAAACCACCGTATCCAAATGCAAGTAATGTAATTGATGCCACATAACGTCCAACTAGATTATTATCTTGGTTCCGGGTTTACACTGGTTGTAATGGGCATGATTCTTTTACATTTAATGCATGTATTACCTTTTGTTTTGTTTAGCAGTGAACAAAAATACAAGTTAAGCACTAATGCTCTCCTCTTTAATAACCAACGTCCGGTGGGGTCTCAAAAGCCATTCTTCGCCAATAGACATGACTCATCTTGGTCGAAGTGTCTGCAACAACATTTTACTATCTTTTGATCAACCGGATTCGTATCTCTCAAAAGTGTAATGCATGTATAGATTTTATTGACATGCATCTAAAGCATTACTACAGTAATTAATATTTTCATCGATTATTTACAGCCAATGAATGAATGTAAATTAGCACATTTCATCGACTAATTAAGATTTGAAAATAAAGTGTCCAACAATTGTGTTTGAATGAGGCAACGGAGCGAGTCGAGGATAGTTAATGCGAGAAGCGGGGAGCGTTGGCAAATCTTTAATAAGAAAATAAATTACATAGGTGGGCATTTATTTACAACAACAAAACCTGCAGTTATGGACGGTAAGGTATATAGTTTTATTTCTCATGTTTGTTCTCTTCGTCTTTCAAATATTTCGTCCGTTTCACTTTGTACTTTCATCCGCATTAAAAGAAAATTGCTGATAAATTTTTTCCAGATAATTTTAAATTAGTGATCTTTCTTGCATTAAGTTATTAGATTAAATTTGAATACACGATTTGTGTTTGTGGATATAGATTTACGATTTGTTGATAGTCTTTTAATATGTTCATTCCTTTTGTGATTCGTTTTTCGATGCGATCGTATCTATTTGTACTTACATTTTATTTGAGTTTATTTGGTTAGATTTTTTAACATTTTCTTTGTATGGTCCATGTGATCTTAAGTGACTAATTTTCTCATATTTAGTTTACGATTGTTCTTGTAAACTTTCATTGTAATTTGAATATTTTTATTTTACAATTAAAAATAATTTAGATATTTTCTATTTTTAATAAAATTAATATATCCTATAGACAAACTTAATTAATTTTTAAGTAATCTGAGAACATTATAAACCCTTAAAACTTATATTTATAACATTTTCTTTCCACCATTCTGTTGCAAAATATTGAAAAATAGTGTTGTAGTATTACAATTTAAAAAAATTTCGTTTCAATAATAAAGTTAAAAAATGTGAAATTAAAATAGAACCTGTAATCGGATGAAATTGAATATGTAGAAGAAGAGTTTTGTTGAGGCCTGAATGAACAATTTCCTTAAGACAGATTCGTCATCTCCTCGGTGCTTTGAGTAACGTTGGACGTCGGTCTCCCAGGATACAACAACAAACGTTCACAACAGTAAGCACAACCGTAGTGAACAATTGAACACAATCTTTGTCTTTATCTATCACCGGAAAATGACTTTTAAAGAATCGGAGAATTGAAAGGAAAGTACTTGAAAGAAAATAGTAAAAGTTGTATGTTGAAATGTGTCACAACTTAGCCTTTATATAGGGAGATGATTGAAAGGTTAAGACCTTTATTGAAAGGTTAAGACCTTTATTGAAATATTAAGACCTTTAAATGAAATAACTTAACCATTTGATTAAAAACCATAACCTTTTAATCAAAAGTTTATCATGGAAAGACATGACCTTTATAGTGAAATGAAATAACTATTTTCATGAAAAGACTTAATTATTTTTCATGAATAGTCATGATTCAATCAATTCATTTATATTTTTCCTACAATTCCCCACATGAACGAATTTGATTGTTTAAAACATTGACTCGATATGGTGATAGATTCTACGTTCGATATTTGTATAGGATAGGTAGGCGTCCCCCTTTGAACCTTCCATTGTGAAAATATGTTTACCTTATTGGCTGTCCAGTAGACGTGATGTCCTTGAACTGTCCTACCGTTTGTGTAAGCGATGACATACCTCACACAAATAACTTACTGAAAAGAGTTTGGTTCTCATGGTTATGTCCATATAGCCGTGGACATCTCCTGGTTCTGTAAGAGCTTAGAGAACTATGCCCCAATAGTCTCTTTGAAGTGGCTCCACTTCACTCTCACATAGGTAACTTATGTTGTTCGGTTCAACGAAACACATATTGGTCATTAAAAGCATTGCTTAACCTTATCCACATTTTAGTCATTGTTTTAATCATAGGAATGGGCTTGGGGATAAAACCCCCACAGTGAGCTCACCAGGTCTATGCAAGTAGGTTGTCCCATTGAACCTAGATCTTGGGATCTCCAGTCAACTAGGTTGGGTTTTCCTTCACATAGAGCCTTAACAATTCATGGGCTTTAGTCTCATTCCTCTTGATGTTTTATCAACTTGATCTCGATTCAACCCTTTGGTTAGCGGATCCGCAATGTTATCTTTTGATCTTACAAAATCAATAGAAATAACTCCAGTTGACATCAGTTGTCTAATGGTATTGTGTCAACGTCGCATATGTCTCGACTTACCATTATACATTACATTTTGTGCTCTACCAATTGTTGCTTGGTTATCACAATATATATATATTTTGGGTACATGCTTTGGCCATTCAGGAATATCCTCCAAAAAATTTCGTAACCATTATGCCTCTTATCCAGTTTTGTCCAAGGCTACAAACTCAGATTCCATCATGGATCTGGTTATAATTGTTTTTCTTGAGTATTTCCATGACACAACTCCTCCTCCCAATGTGAAAATATAACCACTTGTGCCTTTGGTATCTTGAATATCAGATATCCAACTGGCATCAGAGAATCCTTCTAACACAGCAGGATCTCTAGAATAATGCAATCCATAGTTCGAGTATATGAGATATCTCAATACCCTTACAATTGCTTTCCAGTGTTTCTCCCCTGGATTGCTTGTAAATCTGCTTAAACTGCTTTCAGTGAAAGCAATATCAGGTCTAGTGCAACTCATAAGGTACATTGGACTGCCTATGATCCTTGTATATTCCACTTGATTAACACTTTCACCTTTATTTTTGGATAGATGTTGACTTGTATCTATTGGAGTTTTGGCTACACCAGAATCATCCTTGATAAAATTTTCAAGAATCTTTATCTACATAGTGTGTCTACATAGTGTGTCTGAGTCAATATGAGACCTTCAGATGACCTTTTGATTTGGATGCCCAAAATCATGTCAGCAAGTCCCATGTCTTTCATGTCAAATTTTGAATTTAACATATTTTTGGTACGTTTTATCATTTCATTGTTACTTCCAATAATGAAAATGTTGTCAACATAGAGGCATATGATTACATATCCATCAACAGTGATTTTGACATTCACACATTTGTCACACTCATTTATTTTAAATCTATTTGATATCATAACACTATCAAATTTTTCATGCCATTGCTTTGGTGCTTGCTTAAGTCCATATAATGACTTTACCAACTTACATACTTTCTTTTTTTGTCATGGAGCTACATAACCCTCAGGTTGTTCCATGTAAATTTCCTCATCAAGGTCTCCATTAAGAAAAGCTGTCTTAACATCCATTTGATGTACTTCTAAATTTCGTAAAGCGGCAATTGCAAGTATCATTCTTATAGAAGTTATTCATGATACGGGTGAATATATATCAAAGTAATCAAGACCTTCCTTTTGTCGGTACCCTTTAATAACCAATCTGGCCTTGTACTTATTAATTGTTCCATTTGCTTTCATTTTTCGTTTGAAAATCCATTTAGAATTTAATGGTTTAATTCCATGAGGAAGATCCACTAATTCCCACATATGATTTTGCATGATGGAATCAATTTCACTTTTGATGACATCTTTCCAAAAATTACTTTCAAATGAATATATAGCTTTGCTATAAGCTACAGGTTCAGTCTCTAGCATATAGGTTAGAAAATCCGATCCAAAGGATTTTTCTACCCGTGCCCTTTTACTTATTCTTGGCTCTATCTCGACTTCAACCTCTTGTTGGAAGTCTTGAATATTTTCATTAATAGTTTCTAAAGTTCTTTTCCTTGAACTTGAGCCAATTTCTCTAATTTTACAAGGAAATATATTTTCAAAGAATGAGGCATTTTTAGATTCTAATATCGTATTCTTGTGAATTTCTGGATTCTTTGATTCATGTACAAGAAATTGATATGCATTGTTGTGGTGAGCATAGCCAATGAAAATACAATCCACTGTTTTAGGACCTATTTTCATTTGCTTTGATAAATGAGCCATTACCTTTGCAAGACACCCCCACACTTTCAAGTAATTATAGGAGGGTTTCTTGCCTGTCCACAACTAATATGGTGTCTTGTCTATTTTCTTGCGAGACACCTTATTTAAAAGGTAATTTGATGATAAGACAACTTCCCCCCCACATGTTCTGTGACAACCCAGAACTTCCTAGCATATCGTTCATCATTTCCTTTAATGTTGATTTTTCCGCTCTGCTACTTCATTCGATTGAGGAGAGTATGGTGGTGTTACCTCATGAATAATACCATGTTGTGCACAATATTGACCAAATGGTTCAATATATTCACTACCACGATCACTTCTCACCCTCTTAATCCTTTTGTTAAGTTGGGTTTCAACTTCTTGCTTATAGAGAATAAATTTTTCTATAGCTTCATCTTTGCTTTTAAGCAAATAAACATAGCAATATTTTGTGCTATCATCAATGAAGGTAATAAAATATTTATTCCCTACTCTAGTTTGAACAAATTTTAAGTCACAAACATCACTGTGTATTAGATCAAGAGGTTCTGTATTTCTTTCAACAGGTTTAAATGAAGATCTTGTTAGTTTAGCTTCAACACATGCATGATTATAATTAATGTGAAATGGAGGAATATGTTCTAAGTTAATTAATCTACGTAAAGTATCATAATTAACATGTTCGAGTCTACCATGCCATAAATTTAATGACTCAATCATATAAACAGAAGAAGAAGAATCATTCTTATTTATATTTTTAGCTTTTACAGAGATAGCATTGAGTTTCCACATATTGTTCAATACATATCCCCTTCCCACAAATATTCCCCTTTTGATAAAACTAACTTTTGGGATTCAAACACCGTCCTAAAGCCATGTATACTTAGGAGGGTCCCAGAGACAAGGTTCTTTCGTATATCATGCACATACAACACGTTTTGAAGTTTCAACTCTTTGCCACAAGTCATCTTTAAAATTACAGTGCCTTTCCCCTTGATCTTGGAAGTTGCATCATTACCCATATAGAGCTTTCTCCTTTCTCACAAGAAACCAACTCTGCAAAGGAGCCCTTGTCATAACAAATATGGCGTGTGGCACCAGTATCAATCTACCATTCTCTTGGATTTGAATCAACCATGTTAACTTCAGAGACCACAACACATAGGTCAAGTTCAGATACTTCCTTGGAAATTTCTGTCACAACATTAGCCTATTTTGTTATGGACCTTTTTGGAAGCCTACATTCGGATGACATGTGTCCTGTCTTATTGCAATTAAAGCATTTCCCTTGGAATTTTTGCTTCTTAGAAACACCACATTTTGGTCCTAGTTTAGACTCAATTTGAGCTTGCTTTCTTTTCTTGAAGTCCTTTTTTGACTTCCACCACATTTGCCTTGGCAATGTTATGATTGACTGTTTTGTTTAGCCTTTTAGCCGCACATTGATTGTCTTCTTCAATCCGAAGTCTCATAATCAGATCTTCCACTATCATTTCTTTTCTCTTATGCTTAAGATAATTCTTAAAGTCATTCCAAGCATGCGGAAGTTTTTCAATAATGGTTGTCACCTGAAAGGATTCACTTATAATCATCCCTTCTGCGAGAATACCATGAATGACCAGTTGGAATTCTTGCACCTGATTCACAACAGTTTTAGAATCACCATTAAAAAGTTTAAGAATTTGGCAACTAAGAATTTCTTAGCACCAGCATCTTCAGTTTTGTATTTATGGTCCAATGATTCCCATAGTTCCTTAGCCGTTTTCTTTACGTTGTATACTTCATAAAGTGCATCAGATAAACCATTCAACATGTATTTACGACATAGGAAATCTGAGTGCTTCCATGCTTCGGTAATGTTGAACGCGGTTGCAGCATCCACTTCATCCTCTCTAATAGTAGGAGGATCATCCTTCAAAAATTTGGCCAGATTCAATGTCGTCAAATAAAACAACATTTTCTGTTGCCATGTTTTGAAATTCTCTCCATTGAATTTCGTAGGCTTTTCATTATGACTCATGGTCATAGGTAACGTTTGGCTCGCAGCCTGAGTCTGTGTAGCGACAATCGCATTAGATTGTGAATTGGATGAAGTATCAAACATTTTTTTGTAATCGGAATCAAAACCGAAATAATAAATATAATATGAAACGAAATATATATTTACCTAAATATATTACCACAATAATCTGTATGAGTTTATATTGACACAAGGAATATGTCTTAAGATTGTTACAAAATATTGAAAAATAGTGTTGTAGTATTACAATCTAAAAATTTTGTTTCAATAATAAAGTTTAAAAAATGTGAAATTAAAATAGAACATGTAGTCGGATGAAATTGAATATGTAGAAGAAGAGTTTTGTTGAGGCGTGAATGAACAGTTTCCTTAAGATAAATTCATCCTCTCCTCGGTGCTTTGAGTAACGTTGGACGTCGGTCTCCCAGGATACAACAACAAACGTTCACAACAGTAAGCACAACGTAGTGAATAATCGAACACAATCTTTGTCTTTATCTATCACCGGAAAATGACTTTTGAAGAATCGAAGAATTGAAAGGAAAGTACTTAAAAGAAAATAGTAAAAGTTGTATGTTGAAATGTGTCACAACTTAGCCTTTATATAGGGAGATGATTGAAAGGTTAAGACCTTTATTGAAAGGTTAAGATCTTTAAATGAAATGACTTAACCATTTAATTAAAAATCATAACCTTTTAATCAAAAGGTTATCATGGAAAGACATGACCTTTAGAGTGAAATAAAATAACTATTTTCATGAAAAGACTTAATTATTTTTCATGAATAGTCATGATTCAATCAATTCATTTATATTTTTCCTACCCCTTCCAATAAAAAATATTAAAAATTAAAGTGCATTTTTAATAGATGAAGAAGAAAGCAGGTCAGAGTTAATATCCCTGGCGTTACTTAGAGTTTGGTAGTCAGACAAAGATTCCCTGGTTCATTCATTACTGCCGACGGTCTTCCAATTTTGGTCCACAGTACTGTTCTCATCAATTCTGAATTCATGCAATAGGCAATAGTTGCATTGCATACTTTCCTCGGCACTGGTTCACAATATCCCAGGATTAAATAACGGGATCCAACTGTTTATTTATCCCGGCGCTGGTTCACACTCCCTGTGAGAAAAACAGGTAACTGGATGGCTATAAAATTAGATCTTGGAAAAACATACGACAGACTCGAGTGGAGTTTCGTTCCAGACACATTAACTGACATCGGCATACCAGACTCGTTATGTCATCTAATTATGCAATGCATTTCTTCAGTATCTACTCAGGTTCTCTGGAATGGAGTTTCGCCATACCTATTTGTACTATGTATGGAAAGATTGGCACAATACATTCAAATCAAGATAGAACAGGGGTTATGGAAACCGTTCACAACTTCCAAGCATAGCCCAGGGATCTCCCATTTGTTCTTCTCGGATGATATGATCCTTTTTGCCGAAGTCTCCATGGAGTAGTTCGAGATCATCCGTAATGTCCTAAACCACTTTTGTAAGGTCCCTGGACACAAGGTAAACCAAGCTAAAACTACAATTTTCTACTCAAAGAATGTGGCACCAAACCTTCGCAATCAACTAAATGAAGCATTCGGATATTTGGAGGTGGATGATTTAGGAAAACACTTGGCTGTTCCATTACTCCACAAACGGGTCACTAAGGCGTCATACGAGTATCTAGTAAGGGCAGTGCAAAACAAGCTAAACGGATGGTCGGTAAAAAACCTATCGTTGGCGGGACGTGTCACATTGGCAAAAACAGTACTGTCAGCTATTCCAATATATACCATGCAATCAACAGTACTACCCAATATGCAAGGAACTAGAACGACTAATTAAACGTTTTATATGGGGAATATCCCAAGATGGCAAAAGCATGCACCTAGTTAAATGGGAAGACTTGTGCACCCCAATTTTACAGGGAGGACTCGACTTTAGAAAGATACAAATACAGAATGAAGCCTTTATGACGAAACTTGCGTTTAATATTGTTGCAAAAAAAGATGCCTTAATGGGCTTCGAGCAAAATACAAATGCCATGACCAAATGCCGAACACGATTAACAATAAAAATTGTTCAAGACTCTGGACGGGAATTAGCATTATATGGAATGATGTACAAGAAAGCCTTTTCATGGAACGTTGGTAATGGAAAAACAATTGACTTCTGGCGAGATCTGTGTATTCAAGGAATAGACTCGTTAAGATCGTATGTCCCGACAAACCTACTGCCCAACATCGGTAATGATAAGGTAAAAGATATGGTTGATGAAACTGGCAACTAAAAATGGGGCAAGTTTCAACATTTCCTTCCAATGCATATACTGCTGGCAGCAATAAAATGCCCTGATCCTTCAGCTATAGACGACTCAATTGGATGGAAAGGTAGCAAGGAACACCGGTTTTCAATTAAATCAGCCTATGGCATTCGATGTGGCTCAAATGTCGGTTGCAAGGAGATTCTATGGCGTACTATCCACAAATTTAGAGGACTCCGAAGAATATAAATCTTCATGTGGTTGGTATGCTTAAATAAGATTATGACGAATGTGGAACGAGTGCGCCGACATGTTGCCTCGGACAATAGATTCCTCCTTTGTGCCAGGGTCAACGCTGGTGAACCCAGGGAAACTCGATGAATTCCTCTCCATGGAAATACAAGAGTGGGCTATGACTAATCTAACCCAAGCAAATATAACATTAGAATGCAGGACTGGGATCTTATATGGGGCAATTTAATGGAACCTGTGGTGATCAAGGAACGCAGCTGCTTTTGGAACACCTTTGGAAGAAACGGGAACAGTGCTAGAGAGAAGCCGTCGACTCCAAGCAATGTGTGTGAGGGCAATACAAATGAACCGAGCTCCCCTAAGCCATAAAGCAACGAGAGAAATCATTGAACAAAGGAGGCAAGCTGAACGGTGGTCTAAACCTCCTGAAGGGTGGGTTAAAATAAATTATGCAAGCCGAGACAAAACGACTGGAAGTGCAGCATGTGGAGGCAACTTAAGAGACCAGTTTGGACATTGGATCGTAGGATTCTACAAATACATAGGAATATGTTCGATACTGGAAGCAACACTGTGGGGAGCCTACATAGGAATGCTGAGAGCATGGGAAGCAGGCCTATCGAGGATAGAGGTAGAATTAGACTGCATGGACGCTATTCTTCTACTGAAAAGCAAAACAATGCACAGTGGTTCACCTTCGATCCTACTACATATTTGGAAACTAGAGGAAAGAAAATGGAACATGAGGTACCAACATGTACCACGCAAAGGAAACTACATAGTAGATTCATTGGCCAAGCTTGCAAAACACTCGGACATTGAAGTGCTCATACTCATCGAACCCCCAACTGCTGTGTTAGACATGCTGGAAGAAGACAAAACAGTGTTGTAGTTAGAATTTAAGACATTTTTCTTTATTCACCAAAAACAATATATCTAAAAGCTTTGAGAAAGGCCCAGACTGCTACGTTTTTCATTTTGGGTTTGAATATAAATCCGAGTATAGTTGGTTGTGTGTTTGTCTTTCCTTCGAATTCTCAATCTCTGAAAGTAGGCCTAATGGGCTGTTCTTTCAATTACGTTTAAAATATAAGGTAAAATACCTTAGATGATAACCGAACTATGTTGACATTATATGTTTAGCAACTCAAGTTTTAAAAGTTTTAAAATGATTATTTAATTTATCAAATTACTATAAAATATCCAATGAATGTTATGAAGTAGTGATAAATTTTGATAATTGTATAGATCATTTTATAATAATTTGATAAATTTCGACGATTATATTGCTCTAGTTTGATAACTTTTAATGATCATTTTATAATTTCATAATTTACAGTGGATAAAACGATCATTTAAATGTAGCTTAATGATAATATGTGTACTTCACCCTAAAACAAATGAATGGGGTTTAAAGGCGTCACGTGTCTTAGGCATCTGGTTAAGAGGCCCAGAATTTACGTCCGGATCCTGCAAAGAAGACCTGAAAACTGAGAAGCCATTTTTCTTCGAAGCTTCCTCCATCGGCATCGACGCCTGAGCAGACATATCGCGATACCCATGGAAACACTCACCTCCCCGGCCACCGATATGACTATCATCTCTTCATACTCCTCTTCCTTCTCCATCTTCTCTCCTAAGCCGAAACTTTCTCCGCCTAGAATCATACGCTTTCCCGCCTCTTCCAAAAGTATTATTTTTTTTACCTTTTTATTTCAATCCTTTTCCCCCTTTCGTCGGCTATAATGAACACTAATTTTTTTCTTCTTTTAATGTTTTATTTATCAGAGAACAGTAATGATTCCGATCTCCAATTTGATCCGAACAAAACAAGCATCGTTCCTTTCTTTGGCAATCAAACTCTGTCCCAGGTAAACAAATGAATTTGGTATATTTTTTTCTTCTTTTAACTAGTTTCTTTTGGAAAAAAAAACAGTGATTTGGGTTTTGTTGTGTGAGTATTTTGGGAAATTCAATATAGGATGCAGCCATGGGGTTGGTTCTGAGCAACGCGTCTGTAAGAGGGTGGACTACGGGATCGGGTATGGAAGGTCCGTCTATACCCGCCGGAACCGAGGACCAATCCAATACGGAGAAAGTCTCTACCTTTCCATGGTCTCTCTTCACCAAGTCGCCACGTAGACGGATGCGCGTGGCCTTCACTTGCAATGTTTGCGGTCAACGAACTACTCGTGCCATCAATCCCCACGCTTACACCGATGGCACCGTATTCGTTCAGGCAAGTTTTCTAAACTAATAATATTGGAGTTGCATATGAAGATGGAATGTTGATTTTTTTCTCTCACTCCGGGAATTTGCTCTTATTTGATTGGGGAATGATTCTGTGATGGTGGTGGGTTGCAGTGCTGTGGATGCAATGTTTTCCACAAGCTGGTGGATAATCTGAATTTGTTTCATGAGATGAAATGCTATGTCAACCCCAGTTTCAACTATAAGGGAGATCCGGAATGGGATGTCGGATTCAAATTATTCAATGAGGAAGATGATAGTGGCAATGTGTTTCCTTTATGAACTGGTGGGTTGATGGCACATAATCTGTACATTTCTTTGCTCATTCTGGAAAACTGATTTCAATCATGTTTGTGAATAGCTTTGTGTAATTGATAACTTATAGCCTTCTTGTCAGCTAAACATTGTATTTATAAATAAAAAAATCAAAATAATGCTTAGCATGATAGCAATGGCATTTGATGTTCAGCGCAGTATTGTTTTGTTGGTGGGATATTGCTGCATGCACTTTTTAAGCTTTAACATGTTCCAAGTTTTTTATTTGATTTTGTTATAATTTTCAATTTTATATTTGCTTCATTAAGTGGTGTTTTCAACTCTGTACATATGTAGTTACGCCCCTATTGAATTTTTTAGGCACAACTTATCTATAGAAATATTGTTGAGTTAGTTTTGGCAAAAGAAATGCTACTTTGAATTTTTATGCATGTATGTTCTAAGGTTAAATCAGGGTTGTCTAACTAGTAATGATGATGAGTGATAATGTCCTTACTGGGACTACTATCGACATATGATTGAGTTAGGTAGAAGATATATCAATATCATCTTGTTGGGAAGTTAGGGCCTTTGATATGCGTTTCCTTCTTGATAGGTAAATTATAACGATTTCTGCAAGATGGTTGTAAGAATGCTGCAGTCTTTAGTTATTTATTGTCATCGTCAAAAGAGATGGTGATATGTTAATGCCAACTACGTTAACCTTTCCTTAAGACTATTAGAATTGGGTGGCAATGGCATCTCTTTCCAGTTGTAATCTTTCCTCGCCAGTGAAATCTCATCATCTTAAGAGTTAGCTGCATGGATCTCTTGCAAAGTATTATCTACTCCAACATATTCATGGTTGTAGAATGATCAAGTCCATTGTACCTGCTGCACTTAAGAGATTTTGTCTACAAAGTTTTCAAGTTAGATCAAGGACTGGAAATGTTTTAAGGGATGATGAAATCTTGACTTTGTATGACTGGAGATGTAACCAACCCTCTAGAAATGGAATTCAGAATGGTGTTGTAAAGAATCCTATTCCTTAGAAATGGAGTTAGAAGGTAAAATTTTGGATTGGTAGAGGAAATTCAGAGTTTCAGCTTGTAATATTGATATTTCAAAGCTGTACACACATTAGAAGATATAGAAGTCATTGGATTTTCAATGGATGGTTTGTGTATTTTTGGGTTGACTTCATATTGTCTGAGTGGTCCTTCTGTGGCTTCAAATGAAATATCTTTTTTTTGGATAAGTAAATGAAATATCTTCTTGTTGCGCAATGTGCACCACATTTGGTATAGGTAGTGGCAAAAATATCAGTTCCTTGGTTTGGCTAATTGCTGCTTGTTTCTCCACTGGAAAGGATTAAGGCCCGCTTGTGTATCAGCCGTTGAGGATTAAGGTCCTGGTTATTTTAATTGCTTCTGATGTTCAAATGCAGTTTTTTACAGCAAGTAATATTAATATTATGATATGATTTTTTCCATAAGTATTTTTAGTGAATATTGAAGGCAATGGTTAAGGTCGGGTGATTTTGTTCGACTCTCGACTGCTCTTTTTATTATGATCAATTAGGCTCATTTTCAATTCTAAAAAATATAATTAACTTAATTTTCACGATTAAAATAGATATATTAAAATTTTCATGACAAAATGTTGTTAAACACTTAAAATATGAGGAGCGAGAGTTACAAAATATGTTTGTATGTAATAACACTATCCTTTTATCAATTGGGCGTAATTAACCTCTATCCAATCCAACTCTTCTCCACCTCACATCTAAGTGCTAATGCCACGTCGAGGGATAACATCCGAGCCAACCAATCATATCAATATTCAGTAGACGCCGTCCAGATAATCATGAATTCCTCATCAATTTAGAACCACATATCAAGCCTCATCTTATTAAAAGCCAACCTCTTTCTCACTTCACTGCTGCGACTCAGAACTGAGAACACATACCAACTCAACAAGCCTTATCCCAATGGCCACCGTCACCTCTGCAGCTCTCACCATCCCATCCTTCACTGGCCTCAAGTCCGGTTCAGCCGTTGCTAAAGTAAGCTCTGCAGCCAAGGTTGCAGCCTCTCCGGTCCCAAGGGTGGGCATCAAGGCCTTACTTAAGGACGTGGGTGTGGCTGTGGCTGCAACCGCTGCTAGCGCAATCCTTTCCAGTAATGCTTTGGCCGTTGAAGTCTTGCTGGGTGGTGATGATGGGTCTCTGGCTTTCGTCCCCAGCAATATCAGCGTGAGCGCTGGGGAGAAGATTGTGTTCAAGAACAATGCTGGGTTCCCACACAATGTGGTGTTCGACGAGGACGAAATCCCAAGCGGGGTCGATGCATCCAAAATCTCCATGCCCGAGGAAGACCTACTCAATGGCCCTGGGGAGACTTATGCTGTTACCTTGACCGAGAAAGGAAGCTACAGTTTCTACTGCTCTCCTCACCAGGGTGCTGGTATGGTTGGAAAAGTGACAGTTAACTAAGTTACAGCTTTGTGCATGTATCATCTCACACATCTCTTGTACTTTTTGAGCATTAGAGTTTTGAGTGCTGGGGATAGATGAGATCTTCGTGGATTCCTATCTTCATATCTATCCTTTAAATTTGTATTTATATTTGCTTGTAATAGGATTTCTGTTCTGCTTTACCATCCAAGTCCAACCAATAAAGCGATTAGATTCTGATTTTCCTTCGGGAACTCTTCCTCTAGCCATTAACTAAAACCATGTATACTACAAGGTTGAAAGCATATACCCAAATCGAATGATATAAAGCATAAGGAGCCACTCTTTAAAAAAACATAATCGAGGCGCTCATAGAAGGAGGTAACATCATTAATCATTTAGTTCAGTGTGTCGCTTGCAGAGGCAACTGAAAAAAGACTCATTTTCTGGCTTCTACAGCAGCAGCACCGATCGAGCAGGGTCTAAGCTCTATATCTTAATATATAAACCTCAAGTCGAATGGTTTTTTATAGCTTACAAAGCTATAAGGGAGCATTTCAACTTGACTAGTTTCTGCTTCAACATTTCTAGTAGTCAGTAACTATTATGCACGGATACAGTGACGGAAAACGGTAATTTCTAAAATTACAGGATACAGGAACGGTAAAGATACGACATATAAAAAAATTTAAAATTATAAATAGATATAAAAAATCATAAATAAAATCAATACTTCGTAGAAAAATTAGTGTAACACCTTAATTTAACTCTAACTAAAACCTAACATTTTAATTTTTTCCAAATCCCTAAATTAATTTTAGTGTCCAATTTGAAAAATACTAAAATATTGTTTCTAAATTCAAAATACCTAAAAAGTTAAGGAATCAATTAGAAATTATACCAAAAAATCTATAAATCCTACTTTCTCCACCCGCGACCTTCTTCTTCCTATTGTTTTTTTTCTTCTTTTTCGGAAATAGGGGAGTTTAATCACAAGCTTAGGCTCATCATCTGCCCATCGGGGCTTCCTCTTCTTGTTCCCACCGCCCGTCTCACCATTACCGTTTTGTTTTTCGTTTGAATCCGAAGGAGGGTCCCAACGGCTCCTCCTCCGCCTTCGGCTAGTGATTTCCTCTTCTCGGCCCGAATAATTCTTGTTGACGGTAATTACCCCGGGATGTCCCGAAACGTCCCCAGATAAGTTTTGACCGTCCCCGAATTCGATCAGGCATACCCTGCCACCGTACCCGTACCGTCCCCATGCCCGAAACGTATCGGGTAATTGAAACGGGACTCCTTTGCTGTCCCCGTGCTTCATAGGTTAGTAATACATATATGCGGTACCGGTGAAAGATTTCCACAGGCAATGTTAAAGTCCAGTGAAGAATGGTTCTGGGTTGTTAACACACATTCCTTGCTAGGTTGTCTTTTAGTTGTCATTGCCATCTCTTTGGTTTGATATTGGAGGAATGACCATTATCATAAGACTCTGGACACCAAAAATAAATAAAACCCTGACGAAAGTGATACTGGAACGAGGGAAACCTGACGAATGTGATACTGGCACGAGGGAAATAAAACCATATGGTCAACAAAAATATGTCAAATATCAATGAAACATATAGCTTATTTGTGCACAGTTAGAAAATAGCCGCATTGACAACAATCTTTCTTCTCCGAGAGTAGGAGCTAGTACGGGCATGAGTAAGCATATCTTCTATCCAAGGCATGATTTTAAACATCCGCATTTTCTTGCTCGACTGCTCATCCTGATTCACAATGCCATAAAATTTTTCTTTCGAGATAATTGGAGTAGAAAGATTATCATTTGTTGAGTCCGGGAGGAAAACCCTCATGTAAACCGCTGACAGCATCGTCTTTACTGTCGCAATCTAGTGAAGGAAATAATCAAACGCGGTTCATCGGAAAGAATTTACATTTAAAAAGAGTAGAAAGACGAGGAACAGAAACCTGGAAAGTGGAGGCAGTCGAAAGGAAGCGAGTGGACAGTGTTCTGCAGCAAAGGCACAGAATCCGGTACCCGACAGAATCCCAAAGGCCGATGCTTGTCGTCCTTCCGGAACATTGTCTTCCTGAAAAAAGACAACTCAAGTTTCTCACACTCAAAAACATAGATGACATTAGAGGGCTTTCAAGGGACAAATGCAAAGCTCATTTATCCTAGGATAAAACTAACCCACAGCAGATAAAGACAACCTTAGTGTGTTAAAAATGGCTTGAAACATAGAAGTTTCAAAGTCATTAAATCAAGCCATTTAATTTCAAATTAATGTGGTATGAGATAATTAGTGTTTGGTGTAACATCCTCAATACCGGGTTAGTGACCAAATTGTAAAGTTTTTGAAATTGGTGATTAAAGTAGGATAATTGAATAATTCAATGATTTATTGGAAATATGATGAAGGTTATTTAGTAATTATTGAATGAATTAAAGGGTAAAATGGTCAATTGACAAGTAAGATTTTTATATTCCTTTTATAAGATAAGGAACCACGTGGGAAAAGAGAGAATTATCCAGAGTTTTCTTCCTTTTTCTTAATCCTCCCGTATCTCCAAGCTCAAAGGTGAGTTTCTTTGTTTATGAATTAATTGTTGATTTTAAGGTTGGGTTTTGATTATTAGATGATAACTAAGCTTAAGGAGAGCTTAAATTATCTTAAAATCAAAGTATGATGGAGTTAGGAGGGATTAAAGATTTGAGGTTCTTGGGTGAAATCTTAAAATAGAGTTCATAACTAGAGTTGGAAGTTAAATTTGACTTGTCAATGGTCTAGTTAAGAAGTTAGAAGCCATAGAATTGGAATTAAAACATATTGCAAAGTTGGTTTAATTCTTGAGTTACATATGA